CATGAAGGCTCGAGTGTAAGAGATAACGTCAGCCGAGGTAACTTCCGGCTCATCACATTTGTTCACGACAAGCCACGAGTTGCCCTCAGACCGTCAAATTTTGAGTATATCAGCGCACTGTGTCTGTGACATAGATCTAGCCGATGACCTAGGCGAGAGGTCGAGCGAGGAGATCGTCATCCATCAGCTTTCCAAGAGTTTGCGCGCCTCTCAGCTTACCCCTGGAGACTGACCCCTGTTAATCATTCAGTGGCTCTAGCAAGAGAGGAGTCGCGTCAACTACATCGCTTACACGGATACCCTCCCCTTTTTTCCAGCGCCTTCACGAAGACCTTTCACTCTCACAGCCCAGAGTCTCCCCCTTCTTCCAATCCGCCTTCACTCGTATACATATGGTAGTTTTCCATTACTTTTGTCACCTGCGACCCACAGGACATCAGCACTATTCACTACTGCACTCTACCACTCAACGCCATGACCTGAGGAGGAGGGTGACACCAACAAACGATGATTAGTTCACACTTTGCTCATCTCACTTGGCTACTGCAGACCCGGTTTTGCACTTGCCTACCAGTTTACGACTAGCTCAAAGGGAGCGGAGTTGTTCAGCACAAGACCGGCGCAGCCAGAGCACGACAAAGAAACCGAATTACTCCATGATAAGCCCCCACGGACATAGTGAATGCCCCAGGCGCCTATCATACTCCGTAAGCCCAATCCCTCTTCGATCATCTCCCATCCTGCTCTTAATGCGCAGCACGCACCTCCCTCAATACTTCTCTAGCAATAAGTCCACTCGCTGGTGCAGAAACCAACAGGACGTTTCATTGATTACGCACTGGTTTGGCCTAGGCTCACGAACAGAGCCCTCCGTTCAGAGGAGGACATAATGCCCGTTGACGAGGGTGAAATGATCCCCTTCTGATACTTTGTGCAAAAGGCAGGTTGATGACAGTTAGTTTGCGCGGCCAGGCTCTTTCATAATCGGTTGACATCAACCATTGTCGCTCCGCGCTCCGCCACTCGTTCTCCACTTGATCACACACGAGTCACACCGATGCCCCCTGACCTGTGCACCTCTCTCATCTTGGCCTCATTGTCCTTGCGAGCTGGCCTCAGGACCCTTTTCCACAGGCTCAACGGGCGGATGGTCCCACCGCCACTGGTCCAGTCTGTGCCAGGATTGGGTCGCTGCGTTCAGGTCACTCGCCTCACTCTCAGCTTCGGAGTCGCGGTCCAGGTGCCTCTGCTCCCGCTCTACCGTGTTCGTCGAAGTCTCCTCTTCCAGGTAAGAAATGGTCACTTTCATTTCATCTGTGACCCCGTCACGCCTGCACCTTCTTTCTGCACGGTCTTTAGCCTCAGTAATCGCCATCTGCAGGTCTGGGTCCACCCTCATTTCTTCCTCTCTCCCCCCTTCTACGTTTACCTTCGGCTTCAACTCCCGCTTGCTGTAGCTGTAATCCAGTACGGTCGTCACTGTAGGCCTGTCACCTGACATCCGCTCCCATCTACAGAGGGACTGGATGCAACTTGGCCTATAGCCATATAGTCCGCTGCTGCGCACCATGGTCGGGTCTTTCCCGAGTAGGCAGAGCACGGTACCGAGCTGCCAACTCCGAAACAACCCAACTTAGGCACTCAAGGCATGTGCACAAACAAAATCACGCGCACGCTTCGCCGCTCAATCCTCCCTCTTCAGCTCAATGCTCAGCGTAACAGAGCTGTCCAAGCCCAAGTATCCAGAAGCTCATCTCCCCCAGCCTTTAGAGGATCACTGCTTACCGCAATCCTAGTGCTCTAAACGAAAAATGCAAATACCTTTTTCAGACTCTGAAAATTAAGAAAATTGTCTTTTCCAAAATTTTAATAAGACGAGTAATACGAAAAGAAGAGAAAGAATAAGAAAAAGAAAAACAGGAAGTCGAACTCCAATGGTCATAATGCAAGCGGCCCACTTTTCTGTCAATCTCTAGCCCCTTCATTTCTGATATGAAAGTGCCCACGGGTTCGACTTAGTGGTCCCATAACGAAATACCGACGGCAGGCCCGAGCAGGGACCAGCATCGGCCAAGAGTGGTCGTGGCCGCGGCAGCAACGCCGTTTGACCAAACCAGCGAGGTTGTGTCTGCCAGTAAAGGAGACAAACTCGCAGCCGCCCGGGAAGGTGGCCGCCCCGGCAGAGGCCGAGGACGCGACAAGACGAAGACACACACCGCATCTAGCCCCTGGCCCGGCGCAGCAGCTCCAACCCCCTGGTCCCAAAATGGCATCGCCGAGCAAGCAATCAAGGCGCGGGCGAGATTCCACTATTGCCTATGGTGCAACAGTGATCTTCATCAGACACTGGCCTATTGAAAGGCACGGGCAAACAGGGAAACTGAGCACCGCCGAGAGTGACTTGACAACACTCTCGACGCCTCCGGAACCGGTTTCTTCGCGAGTAACCGGCCTTCATCCCGAGGCACATGCGAAAGTCGATAGCCCTCCTCTTACTTGTTCTTTTGAGGACTATGCTGCGTGGCTCGTTCTTACGCTGGGTACTCAAGCTCAAGGACAAGACGTGTGTGCGGTTTCTTCTCCGTCCGGCAGCGGCGACATGTCGTCTTCAAGTGGTTCTTCACGGGAATCGACGCGCGAGTTCAACATAGAGGTATTGGACCCGCTCACGTCTGAGGACTTTGCATGGCTTCCTCTCCCGACCACGGGCCGCTTGCTGGGACCGTAATGCGCAACACTATGCGCTCATCTCCACACTTACTTATCCTTCTATGCACCACCAACTTCGCCGACGGATGACGAAGTCGCGGTGGGGGACATCCTTGCGTATACTACCAAGGTGGCCCGCGAGTTTCGCACGCAGCGGTACGATGATAACAACGCACCGCTCATGTATGTCCGCATCCAGGTTGGGCAAAGCGTCCTGCAGCGCTTTGCTGGATAGCGGCGCGTCTCGCAATTTCATGAGCCAATCCTTTATGCAAAGGGCGGGCCTTGGCGCACAAGTTTGGTGGAAGGCAAACCCGACGACGATCAAGTTGGCGGATGGAAAGACGCAGCAACTTCTCGACCTTTACATCGAGGCCGTACCGGTGTATTGAGCACCTCATGCATGCAAACCGGTGACGTTTGACATTCTCGACACGGACTTCGACATCATTCTGGGAATGCCTTGGCTTGCAAGTGCGGATCACACGGTCAACTTCCACCGGCGGACTCTTAGCGTTCGCGACGCCTTCGGCGCGGAAGTGGCGTGTACTATTCCTCTACTGCACCCTTCGATTCGGTGCCAAGTGGTGATGGCCAAATCATTCCGGGCGACTTGTGCTTACGAGCAGCCCGAGGAAATCGGCCTCTGTTTCCTATGGACCGTCGCGGTCGCCGACTCTTCACCCACGGACTTGTCCTCGGACCCCCGGGTGGTGCGGTTGCTGGACGAGTTCGCCAACATCTTCGAGTCACCTACCGTGTGTGGTGTTGGATCGGCCGATCTTTCACGAGATCATTTTTGAGGCCGGTGCCGTGCCGCCGAAAGGTTGCATCTATCGGATGAGCGAGGAGGAGCTTGAGGTCCTCCGCGCACAACTCGACGATTTGTTGGCCAAGGGCTGGATCCGCCCGAGTAGCTCCTCATATGGAGCACCAGTTCTCTTCGTCCGGAAGAAAAACAAGGATATGCGATTGTGTATCGACTGCCGCAAGCTCAACGCGCAAACCGTCAAGACTGTGGGGCCTCTTCCTCGCATCGACGATCTTCTTGAGCGATTGGGCGGCGCAAAGTATTTTTCTAAGTAGGATTTGAAATCGGGATATCATCAAATCTCGATCCGGCCGAATGATCGCTACAAATCCGCGTTCAAGACGCGGTACGGGCATTTCGAGTGGGTGGTCATGCCTTTTGGCCTCACCAACGCCCCGGCGACCTTTCAAGCGGCAATGACCAATGAGTTTCGTGCAATGTTGGACCGGTTCGTGCTGGTCTACTTAGACGATATTCTCGTCTATAGTTGGTCATTGGAGGATCATCTTGGGCATCTTCGACGAGTGTTGGAGATGCTCCACCGCGCCAAGTACAAGGCCAACCGCGACAAGTGCGAATTTGTCTGGCAAGAGCTGGAATACTTGGGCCATTTTGTCACACCGGAGGGCATCAGTCCGCTATCGGACAAGATTCAAGCCATCCAAGAGTGGCCGGAGCCTTGGAACGTCACGGATGTTCGTTCGTTCCTTGGCCTCGTCGGCTACTACCAGCGTTTTATCAAAGGCTACTCGAAGATCGCGGCCCACTTGACCAAGCTTCAATGCGAGGATCGGTCGTTTGACTTCGGAGAGGAGGCGCGGGAATCATTTTTGGCTCTCAAAGCCGCGCTATTGTCTGCGTAGGTCTTGCAGATATACGACCCGCTTTTGCCTACGCGCGTCACTACGGATGCGTCAGGCTATGACATTGGTGTAGTCCTCGAGCAACATGATGGTGTGGACTGGCACCCGGTCGAGTATTTCAGCAAGAAAGTGCCCGTCGTGCATTCCATTGACGATGCATGCAAGGAGGAGCTTCCTCGCCTTCGTCCACGCGCTCAAGTGGTGGCGGCATTTCCTCCTTGGTCGAAGCCAATTTCGATGGGTAACGGACAACAATCCGTTGGTCTTTTACAAGACCCGGTAAGTCGAACCATTTTGCGGATGCTCTTTCACGACGTCCGGATCATTGTACCACGGTCGACTCAACCTTCGAGATCGACGATGACCTGCGGAACAGCTTCATCCGCGGCTACCAAGCCGACCCCGAGTTTCGCGACAAGTACGCGAATTGCTCCTCTCCTAATTCGGCACCTTCTCACTACCGGATCCAAGAGGGGTACTTGCTTGTCTACCCACGGGGGAAGGACCTTCTTTGCGTACCGAGTGATCCTCACTTGCGTACATGGCTTCTTGGCGAGTTCCACGATGCTCCCGCCATCGGACACTTTTTAGTTCGCACGGTTGGCTGACTTCGCGAGCGATTTTGGTGGCCGACCTTCTCGGCGACGTCACGCGTCCGTACGGCGAGTTACGACCACTACCGGTCCCGTTGAGGCGAAGGGAAGCGATTGCCATGGACATTACCGGCCCGTTCCTCAAACACAAGACCGGTGTGGATAGGATTCTCACGGTGGTCGACCGACTCACCAAGTTTGCCATGTTTTTGCCTTGTCGCTATCATGCCAAGGCACCGGAGTTGGCCGAGGTTCTCTACGCCGGTTGGATTCGAATAAAGGGTTACCCCAAGGAAATCGTCTGCGACCACGACACTCGGTTCATGTCCGATTTTTGGTTGGCGCTCATCAAGCGATGGGGCTCATCTCTCAAGCCCAGTTCATCTCGCCACCCTCAGACCGATGGCCAGACGGAGAGGGCGCATCAGACCGCACAGGTTCTCCTTCGCACTCTCATCCGCCCCGACCAGAAGGACTGGGTTGAGCGGCTGCCGGATGTCGAGTTGGCCTACAACTCCTCTATCCACCCAGCTATCGGGATGTCGCCCTTTGAGTTTGAGCACGACTCACCGGTCACTTCACCATTGGACACTAGTCCACGAACGGCTGAGAGCGACGACCATCTTCTTTTCTTACGTCGGATGCAAGAGCTTCTCGTCAAGGCACGCGATCAGATGGCTAAGACGCAGCAACGCATGAGCCAGCAAGCCAATCGCCAGCGTCTTCCTTGCCCATTCCGCGCAGGGGACCTCGTTTGGGTTTCCGCAGCGGAATTCAGCCTTGAACAAGACATCTCTCGCAAGCTCCTCCCGAAATGGATGGGGCCTTGGCCGATCGTAGCACCCGCTGGGGACGCACCCGAGGGACCTTCCTTCACGATTCAAGTGCCCGGCTATTTGCCCGTCTACCCAGTCTTTCATTGCTCCAAGTTGGCTCTTTACACGCCAGCGGAACATGACGATTTTCCCGAGAGACGTTCGCAAGACCCACCTTCCATAGACGGTTTTCAGGAGGTCGGCGACATTATCTCCTAGCGACGCTACGGCAACAGGCCAACCGAGTATTTGGTGCATTTTGCAGACTGCACACACCGAGCTGACTGTTGGTTGACCCGTGCGGAACTTCAAGCAACAGCTCCAGACGTTCTCGCACGCTACGAACGCAAGATGCAAGGCAAGCCGGTTTCTTTGGCTCCACGCCGCGCCCGCGTCCAGGTTCCACCTTCAGATCATCGGCTTCGCCCTCGCCCCGGCTTGACTTCATAAGGAGGGGGGGGTGTTACATGCTGCGCCTGCACACGAGGGCCATTTTCCAGGCCCTGCGTCCCTCAGGCTGAAAGCCTGAAAACCAGAGCCTACAGACCCCGTGACTGTTCAGCCCGAAAGCCTGGAAACAGGGGCCTACTGTCCTTGTGTCGTTTCAGACTAAAAATGGCAATAGCCTTTTTAGCCTGAAACGAAGGGCCATTTTCGGTCGTTCATCAGAACGACCGACCCTGAAACTCAGGCACCGAACCAGGGTTTCGGGAACAGGCTATTCTTAGCCTGTTCCCACGCCAGCCTCAGCAGCTGCTGCAGCGCCAGCCCGTGACACACTTCGGCATTGGCAAGAGCAGCCTCCTCGGCCTGGCTCGCCCTTCAGGCAGTCAGGAGGCAGGCCTAGGTAGTACATAGGGACTTCCCATGCACTTCATGGGTAGGCAGGAGGCAGTAGTAGTCTTCAGGATTCGGCAGCAGCACTTTGGAGGGAGCGCTGCAGGAGTAGTAGTAGCGTTAGCCTTAGTCTTCAGTGCTGGGCGCAATAGGTAGCTGTAGTCTCCAGCGCTTGGCGCCATAGCTAAGACAGCACTAGAGAGAGAGAGAGATTGGGCGGAGGCCAGAGGTACTTACCTCCAGTGCCGTTGCTCCAGCTTCGTCTTCGAGGTACCTGCAGCACAGCGCGAACATCACAGGTTAGTATCTGGCTCGTGACAGAGAGAGAGAGTTCTTCTTCCTCTTTTCAGTCCACCATCTCCCTCTCACCCTCTCCTTATCTGACTTCATTGCATCTGCAGACTATGCGAGAAGAGAGAGAGAGAGCTTGGTGACATTGGATCCAGACTCGACTTTTGGGCTTCAGACATTACAACGAGGGATTATTTGGGACTTGTGACAAAGACTTGGTGTTGACGACATTCCCGTCTCTCTCCCTCCTTCCGTCTGATCCCCCCCTCTTCGTCTGTGTATGTCTGGACCTGGCGCTTTCTTCCTGTGTACAGCGCCAGGCTCCTTCACACATGGTGATGGATACGATGTATGTTTGGTCTGCGTTCAAACATTGATTGGGCTAGTCATTAGCATTCTAGCATTCTGCTTTGCGATCTGATACTATGTGAATGAGGTCAGTCCCGGTCAGATCAGGACTTGTATCTAAATCTTCCACTGCGCTATTCAGCACCATTTTGTATGTATGAGAATGCACATTGCTTGTTGAGATTCTACTTGCACAGCATTGTCCATTCAGTCCTTTTCATCACATTGCGGATCCTCGGTTTCTATGTACATCGCCCAACTGGGCATGTAACACCCTCGCCTAGCCTTGTCCCATCTGTCCTCTCCACTACCTTGTCTCTCTTGTCCAATGCTTGTGAACCTGCGTGACGCTGGCGATAAAGGATCTAATGGTAAGCGCACGAGGACGATGGCCTGCTGCCTCACTGTTCATGGAGATTATGCAGCTGGTTTGGCCACCATGCTGTTTCATCGGCCGGCATCCCGACTCGCGGACTTACTGGAGCAGCAACTTGTGACATGGATCTTTTCATCAGTCTGCGACTTCCTTGCTTCCAGATCAGACCTCATTGCAGTTCGTGTACCGGACGCACCCTGACACTTGAACTACTACTACGCTTCTTGGACTACTACCTGTCGCAGCCGCTGAAGACCGCTTCTACCACCTACTCCAAAGACCTGATCAAGACCGCTGCAGACCCCCTTTCAAGACACTTGGACACTTTGTTCCTACATGAGATTCTGCTTCCGACTCCTTCGGACACACCAGCCCTTGCATTCCTGAACAAACATTTTCATTTTCGTTTTTCCTGACTTTGACAACCCTGTAGAACATCATTTGCAGATCCCTGTTTCCCTAACCATTCTTCCCCGCACCCACTAGAACATCAATAGACATTCCCTGTTTCCCTGAACACCGTTTCCCTTACCCAGTAGAACATCAATAGAAGTTCCCTGTTCCCTGAACTTTGTTCCACCTTAACCTATCGCAAACCATGCAGTCCCCTTAGTTCATCAGTAGGACTACCCTGCTCCCTGCCGTCCCTTTAGTTCATTTGTAGGACTATCCTGTTCCCCGCAACCCCCCCTAGTTCATCAGTAGGACAACCTGTTCACCGGTACCAAACCCTGTTCCCTCTTACTCCCGCAGCCCATGCACCCACATTATACCCCTCTTCCCTTTCGACTTGTTAACCAGTGATCGGCCCCGTCCCGTCCTTCACAGATTTCAACATTGCTTCATGATTTTTGGCAGCCGGGAGGTTGCCTTCTAGAGGGAGGGGATAGTGTTACAGACTCCGCCAGGGCTCAATCCCTGGTCTATCTTTTTGCTGTTTCTGCTGCATCCCGTTTTCGGCCTGGCACCCTTTTTTTTTCTAATTCCCTCCTTTGGTACCGTCGGATTTTGGACAATTGGCGCCATGCTGCAATTCAGGCGCCACTTTCAAATACCGCATTTTTCAGTTCTGCCCTCGTTTTTTTTGCGGAAATGCCCCTGGTACCGTACGTGTCACCGGTACGTATACCGGCTCCCCGTACGGTACGGGGACCAGCCTCGTACCAGTTTTCTGCTGCTGTACTCGTACTCAGTGTGACTTGCCGTTTCGGCATTCGGAATCCAAGACTTCGACTTTGTGCCTTGCCACTGTGTCTGCGTCCGACCCTCATGCCTGTCGAGTGAGTGAGTGTGTGTGTGTGTGCTCTCACTCTCTCCCTCCCTCGTTCCTCTCCCTCGGCTCTCCCTCAGCCTCGCATTCGTCACAGGTATCGGCCTAGACCTAGCCTACCGCCACCGAGCCTCTAAAAATGCCAACTTTGTCTTCTTCTGCTCGAACTCGAGTACCCGGCACATCTACTGCTACTGGGTGCGGTACCGGCCTACCTGCTACTTGAGTGTTTTGCCGCTACTCCAAGGGCCGCGGGCCTCTGGCTCCGCCACTTGAGTGTTTTCCCCTGCTGCAACCCTCAATGCCACGGCCACAGGTAAGTACCAGCCCTACGGGCCTGCCAAACAAGCAAGTACCCTTGTGGGTCACACACACTCATGCCGACAAGCACTCAGACAGACACGCAAGTCAACAGGCATGCACACATACAGACTTAGAAAACTCAGCAGAATGCGAGAATCTCAGCAAGGCATCCATTCCATCGGCAGAACTTCAGAAATCAGCAGTGTTCTCAGTCTGTGTTATGGCGGGTCATTACAGCCAGTAACCGTTGACTTACCCACTGGTACTGCTGATGTACGGTTGGCCTACTGATCCTAGGGAAGTTTTGGATTAGTCCTCCTGAGGACCTGCAGCCAACTTCCAGGCCCAAACTATTGGACTTCTCTGGAGCTGACGAGTCCCTCTCCACCGTTGGCACATCTCTCTCTCTCTCTCTCTCTCTCTCTCTCTCTCTCTCTCTCTCTCACACACACACACACACACACACACACACACACACACACACAATGTGCGTACGTGTGTGTCATGCATGTGTGTATGTGTGCCATGCATGTGTGTATGTGTGTTGCATGTGTGTGTGTGTGTGGGTGCCATGCATGTGTGTACGTGTGTGCCATGCATGTGTATGTGCGTGTCATGCATGTGTGTATGTCTGAGTGGTTGCATGTGGAGTGACTTGCTGATTTCTGCTGCCGAGATTGTCTGCGAGGCTGTACACTAACCCGTAGGGTTAGATTCGTGATTTTGTTTGGCTGAGGGCTAACCGAAAGACCTGCCTGTTTGGAAATTCGTGAGGGACAGATCTGCAATTCCGGGAAAATACAGGCCCGGTACTAACCGAATTTCTACAGCTACCCTAACTGCCTATAGCAGGCCCAGGCTACCCTAGGACAGACAGGCCCTAAGCGGCCTATACTGCTATACGGTCTTATAGCCTATAAGCCGGGTCCGGTAGAGGCCAAAAGACCGAAACAGCAACGGTACCAGTGTAGGGCCAAACCCCGGTAGACTTTCGAGCCTTAGTCGATCCCACTGCGGGTCCCAGTTGGCTCGGCCCGCCCACGCTCATGCTCGGGGCGCGGGCTGTTCGCCCCGAGGTCACCCCCACCTAGTGCTTTGAGATGGATGGGGGTGGGCCATCGCGCGAAGAGCTTTGACATTGGGGATGTAACTTAGCCCTCACGCTAGGTGGTAGTCTCGCTGGTTGTTCCGCAACGCTGATTTTTTTTTTATTCTTTGTTGTGTTCTCATGCAATTGCTCCTTCCAATACGCAGACAGTCCAAGGATTCTTTGAGCGTTTCTCTTCTCCTGTGCGTAGGCTAAGCGTCATCCTTAGGCCATGCACCATTTCCCTAAGCAATGTGGCTATATGGCGTTATCAGGGTGTGGCAGAGCCGTCCTCCCCCTCGCCTCTATGCATCCATCGGGTCTCACAATTTGCTGTTTTCCTTATTGAAGTAGGCCCCTTAGTCATTTCGGGGTCCTCATATGCATGCACGCATAACATCACAATTTCCTTGGTACGATTGCACTCTCAATCCCACTTCCAAGTCTCAAGCGCAAAAGCCATTCTCATGGGTTGGCTCTATGTCAAGGGTCCCATAGCCCCTCCGTCCCCTTTTCCTTTTCCTCCAGATGCTCAGTTCCTCTCGCCCCTATCCCGCTCAAGGCATTTCTAGCCATTATTCACCTGCACAATCCCACACAAGCAAGAAGATTCATACAACGTCCCCCGTTGGGGGTCAACACATAGCCCTTCCCACATGCCTATCCTTTCCATGCTCTTTGGTTGTGCTTTGTTCCCTTTTTGTTGTTCAATCAGCCCATCCTCTTCTCATAGTC